CCAAAACAAGAGCCCTGAGAAGTGCTGCTGCAGGAGCGGCGGGATGGATTCCCGCCGGGAGCGATCAGGGCCGGCGTTAAGCGAGGAGGCTGCAGAGCGCTTACAGCAGGGCTCCGGAGCCGCCGCCGCCGGCGCTAATGGGAATGCAAAAGAAGGAGCTGTTCCAGTGCTGACCCAGGGAGAAGCTGCAACAGCAACGCCATCTTGCTCCCGATCTGCCCTCCCCCCAACACTGCAGCAAGCGGCAGGAGAGGAGAGGAGCGGGGAGGGAGGCGAGGGAGCCGGGCAGCGCCGCGCGCCCAGGTGGCATGGCTCGGCGCGCGCCAAGGGTGAGGAAGGGGCGTCGTTGCACGTGCAGGGAAGTGTGACCCGGGTGCGCTCACGCGCCAGCACACACTGCGCGCCTTCCACTCCAGGCGACTGAGCTAAGCGCGCGCGCGCGCGCGAACACACACATAACATACACGCGTGTCGCCTGACCAGCCTTCGCGTTCACACGCGCTTCTCCGTTCATATCCGTGCTCCAAGACTCCCCACTGAGCCCCATCCTCGGCGCACACCCTTGCGCGCTTGAAGGCACCGGCAGCATCCGTGCCTGCAATAATATACATGCACCGTCACCCCATTCCGTGATAAGCCCTCCGTCTGGCATAGCTGTCGGCCACGTTCACACGCTGGTGAGCATTGCTGGCCTAACCACGGAAACAACTTATACAGTATGCGAATTTTCGAGCCTCCGCCTATATGCTCAGCAAATACGCTCTCCTCAAAATTCACTTGGCCTCTGTACAGTATTTCAGGCATTCCTGCACAGTGGCCAAATTAAGAGGGGAAAGGTCTGAAGGATCCTTGGTTAAAAATCTCAGGCCTGAGCCTCTCACGGAAACTGGAAACTATGGGCTCCATCTCCCATTATCCTTCCAATAGCACTGGCTGAGAGAAGGAGGCCCTTTATCTCCATTATAATTTGAAGATGCCACTGTATATGTCGTGATTGCCAATCTCATAAACATAGATCTGTTTTGCTCTTTGATGTCTTATAACAGAGAAATCAAGGTCTAGGACAAAATGCATGTGCTTCCAAGAACCACAGATCATATCAGTTTTCATGTAGAAACAACATGACCAGCTTCTTCAAACACAAGTCTTTATCAAATAGGGGTCCTCTGGATGTTTAGACTCCAGCCCCCATAATCCCAAACCATTGGTCATGCTGAGATAATACAGATGTTATAGTCCAAAAACAACTGAAGGACAATGATTTTGTGAAGGCTGACCGATACACACTATGTGTTATAGAGGTGAGCAATTTATGGCCCTCCAGATATTGCCAGACTGCAACTCCCATCAGCTTTAGTCAGAAGAGACAAAGACCACCCCCCAACAACATCTGGAAAGCTACCAGTGTCCACAAATGAATTAGTCCGTAAAGTACCATCAATTATGAATTTCTTTTATATAAACTTTTATATAAACTTTTTCTTCAGAAGGAAAAATGTGCACCTACCCTAACGTGTGCAATCACACACCTCTATTTCAGTGCCAATGCAAATTATTGACTGTAACAACATATGCCAGTATGTTTTGTCACATATGATGTCACATATGATGTCACTTGTGAAGTTGGTTACTCCTGCTACTATGTAGGACCAGAGTATGGTGGTTCATCAAGTAAAACAAACTAATGCAGTAGGCTGGAGGTAATATCACTTTTATGCTGATAGAACAGACATCCACTCTATACCTGGTAAACCCAAGTGGAGCCACAAAAACAGAAAATCCAGACAAACACAGACACATTACAAAGGGAATGTATAACGGGTCTCACCCATTTATCTTTCATGTTGATGGTATAGACTGCAATTCAGCAGTATAGCAGGATTTCCACCAAATCCCTGAATTTTTCAATAGGTGGAACACTAGTGCCGGATTGCACCCTCAGCTCAGCACTGAAATGGAGAGAGATAGTATTTGTTGTGCCATCCCCATTTCAGTTAAGTGCTGAGCTGAAGCATAAGAAGTGTTCAGCATGAAAACTTACCATTGATGCCTTCAGTAGTTCTGTAAATAAGGTAACTAGCTACTTATCTCTAAAACTTAAAAACGGTTTCTGCAATATTTGAAAAAGGAAGGAGGAGACAAAAGTGGAAGGGAATGACAGGTAAACTACTGCCCCCCCCACATTCACGAAACTCCTCCCATTCCTGCCAATCAGATTATACAACCTAGACTGGAGTGTGCCACCACAAATAGAGAGGGAATGCACTGCTGAGTAGTGCATAGACACAAAAAAATAGCTAAAGATGACTCATAGGAGTGAGTTTAGCCACATGCTGCAGGAGGAAGCAAAACACAAGACAATGAGATCAAATACATTGCTAAGAAACGAACAGAATCATTGTTTTATACAACTTTATTGGTTCCTGTCCCCTCTAATGTGAATAGTTATTCCTTTTTTTCCACCTTCCCCATGTAGGCTATATAGGAATCATCTTTTCCATTAGAGTTTTATACTCTCAGTGTGTGGTTACACTAGAAAATAAATCTGTATTTGAATCTGGTTTAACATGTTTTAAATTGATTTTTTAAAAAAAGATAACTACATGACGCACATGGAAGTGCAGATTCCCCCCCCCCCAGAAAACATCTTTTTTTGGTCAGAAAGTGAGGTATTTTACTGGGTGCCAAGAAGGTAATTTATTTTAACTCGCTTGTGAAATTTAGTTTGAATCAACAGATGCAAATGCCTCTGTCAATGTAAATTGTGTCTGTGGGGTTTGCCACTCCCACAACTCACTGGTGTGCCTTCCCTCTCACCAGTCTCCTTCTCCACTGGGCTTCCCTGAGAGAGAGAGAGAGAGAGAGAGAGAGAGAGAGAGAGAGAGAGTCCTTGTGCTTGTGTTGTACTGCAGTTTGATTTATTTTAA